CGTGGGAGAGCAGCCAGGAAGCTGCCCGGGGACTGGCTCCGGGCAGGTGGGCCAGCCCCTCCTAGGCACCTCTTATCCAAGCCTGGGTGGGCTCACCTCCAGGTAGGACATGGACACCTCGTACTCCACATCATTGCTGGTCTCCTCAATGGCACGGAAGAGGTCATTGAGGGTCCGAACGTAGATGCCCGGCTCGTGGTCCGTGCCCAGCATGGTGTAGGTTTTCCCACAGCCTGGGCAGAGCCGGGTGGGGGAAAAAGGAAGCCCGGCCGGGCAAGGGCCCCCGGGAAACCCAGCTCTGTCCTCAAGGCCACTGCCCATGGCCAGGGAGGTGGCGAGGGGCAGGAAGGGTGACGGCCTTGGCTGGGGCCAGGCTTTGGGACTGAGACCCTGAGGGAAGTTAGGGCCCACCCCATCTTTGATTGCACCCCAGTTGGGACCACACTAGCTCTCTGATGCAGGGTGAGAGGCCTGGCTCTTGTGGGGCACACAGGGACACCCCAATCCTGACCCACTGCTGGGCTTCCCCTCACCCGTAGGGCCGTAGGCGAAGACGGTGGCATTGTAGCCTGAGATGACACCTTCAATGAGGCTCTTGGTGGTGGCCTGATACACCATCTCCTGCAGGGAAAAGGGGACCATCAGGGGCCTGGGGCAGACAGGGCAGAGCACAGGTGCCACAGATGTCCTGGCCCTGAGAAGGGGAAGCTTCTGTCCCAGGAGCCCAGGCCTGGAGGAGGGGGAACAGAAGGTGGACGCATCCCACCGTACAGCCCGGGGGCGCCAGCTGTGGAGCACTGAGGACACCTGAGACGCCGCCCCACAGTCCCCGAGGACACCTTCCATCTGCTCCTGGGAGCCTCCTGAAGACGGGTGAGAAGGGGTCCCCAGAAGGTGTCCGCATCCCTGAGGCTCTCCTCCACCTGTCCCCCCACGCCAAACGGGCTACAGGCTTCCTCCTCTGGCTCCTCCCATGAGTGTTCCACGTGACTGTGTCATGCAGAGTGGCAGGAAGTGCTAACCCAAGAGTGTCCATGCAGGTGCACAGGTGTGTGCGCCAGGCAGGTGTACACAGGTGTGCGAGCCAGGCAGGTGTACACAGGTGTGCGTGCCAGGCAGGTGTACACAGTGTGCAAGCCAGGCAGGTGTACGCAGTGTGCGTGCCAGGAAGGTGTACACAGGTGTGCGTGACAGGCAAGTGTACACTGTGGAAGCCAGGCAGGTGTACACAGGTGTGCGTGACAGGCAGGTGTACACAGGTGTGCATGCCAGCCAAGTGTACACAGTGTGCAAGCCATGCAGGTGTACACAGGTGTGCGTGCCAGGCAGGTGTACACAGTGTGCAAGCCAGGCAGGTGTACACAGGTGTGCGTGCCAGGCAGGTGTACACAGTGTGCAAGCCAGGCAGGTGTACACAGTGTGCAAGCCAGGCAGGCACACACAGACTTCCTAAATGGGGACACTGGAAATCTGATCACTGAGCCAATGGTGGAGGGAAGGTAGGGGTCAATGGCAGGGCCCCTGAGTGGGACAAAGGTTTGGGAAGGTTCATGAGTGTCTCCAGGCCCTGCCCCCCTCACCTGGGTGGCAGTGAAGTCAAAGGCCACGTCGAACAGGTAGGACTTCTCCCGGGAGCGATGTGCCCGCAGGATGTCATCGGGGTCCTCCATGGGGTCCATGAGAACCACCATCTGCAAAGGTTGCCAAGGGCAGACCAGTGTCACCCCAGGTCCTCAGAGCCCAGGGCCCATTCCTGCCCTGTCCACTCTCTGGGTGTCAGGTCCGGACACTTGGCCTAGGAGGCCCGGAGGAGAAGCCTCCCTGATGACAAACAGCGGCTCCTGTGAGACGGGCACAGCCACAGGGAGAGAGCTCTGTGGGGTGCCCCAGACCCTGGCAGAGCTCAGATCCTGGCTCCTTCCCACCTGCCA